AGTAAGTTGATTTGCATACAAAGCAGAGCTTGCAACATTGCTATTCATAAAGGGAGTTTTTTTTTTACTTTTCATATAATACAGTAGTCACACAATGAGGCAGTTCATATTTGTCTCAGTGAATCATTCATTTTTGACAGACACCTGTACAAAATACTTGGACTAAAGCCAGCTAAATTTTTCTGCATGTTTTATGAATCTATTCACATCTAAATGCAGCACTTTTTTTTTGCAATGAGACATTTGTTTTTATTCTAAAATATCTGAATTACTTTGAATAAAGCTGGAAATTATGTTCCTTAAAATAATTAAACAAATAAGGCATGTTTTAGTAAGATAATTACATCTTTTAAGGACATTCGGTAGACTGATTCCCCACTGTTGGTTCAACCCCAAAACTTGTTTGTGCTTGAAATTAACTGAAAATCATAACCGGCCCGAAGGACCTATGTCAAATTAAAACTGTAGGTCCTTCTAGCTAACTGTAGGCCCTGATATTTAACAAACAAAGACTAAACAGATAATACAAAACCTTTATTTACTAATTAATCAGATATATTATCTGCAGCCTCAAAGACGTCATCATCATTTCTTTCATCGTCACTAAACTCATCAAAATCTTCAGAAAAAACACTGTCATGATCACTGGCCGACTTTGAATCTGACATGCATTTTGCATTGTGTTCACAATCATTGGCGTCAGCCTCATCTTCTACAAGGATCAATTCTGCTGCACGATCCACGACAAGGCCGGCAATACATCACCTTGTTATCAAACCTTGTTGTTGTTATCAAAAAGTAACCAGTCTTTGAACTCCGCCTGCCAGCTAACTTGGAATGTGCGTGGTTTACGCCTAGACCGTTCGTATTCTTGCTGTTTGTCACGCCTTTCTTGTGTGGTTTTCACACGTTTAGCAGCAGGCTCCTGGCAATATTGCCACATACTTCGATGTAGACGTAACTCTGCAGCATGTTCGATGCAAATCAAAAATGGCGGAACATAAAATGTATGCGCGAATTCTATTGGTTTGAATCGGAGGCTTGATCGGCCTACATCCAATCAGATCGTTTGTTACAGTTCCCACGTTCGGCGCATTTCGCGATCATTCGGCGAGCTTGAATTGACTCATATGCCCAGGTCGATGAGTGATGCCATTTGTTGATCAAACGTGCAAGAAAACACAATTTTGAAACAATTCTGGAGTTACTATAGATATTTATTATATATTTGGTCTTACAATCATACTAAATAATGGAACATTTTTTTTAAATACAAATTCATGGTCGGTCACAAGGTCTGATGGTTTTTAACAGCTCTAGGCCCTTTACACCCACTGTCGGCGTGAGGCCGACAGACCGACGCTAATTTCGAACACTGCATACTAAGTACCTAGGCATGGAAAATTGAAAAAAAAAAGTAAAAGACAAAAATGGAATAATACCTAGGAGCTAAATAAGGTTACAATAACACTGCTCCATATATTTGTTATTTTGAAATCTGTCTACCAAATTTTTTTTTTAAATTGGAAAAATATGAAATTTTGATCCATATCTCTGACATGTTTATGTTCAAACTATATTACTATAAATAAAACTATATATCTTAAATTAAATAACAGGGACTGTGCCATGCATGGCTTGTTTATTTATACTTATAACAATATATCATTCACTACACTTATCTAATTGACAGATCATGGGGAGCATATTACAAACATCCGGTTCTTCTTATCAGCAGTGTAAATGTCATTCTGTCCACCTAATTCTACATCTAAAAATCTTTTATTTCTGTAAAATTGCACCAACATCTTGAAATTCGCACTTGCTAGGTACACCAAAATGAATTTGGTTTACATTTTATAGCAATTGATAAGATTCCCAAATTTGAAGATGATCTGGTAATATTGTTTGCGTTATTGTAACCACAAGAAGAAGACAATTTTTAATGAAATATAATGAATATCTTGAAAATTATTTTTCTAGAACATTTACCATAATCAAACTTGGTTAATATAATAAGTTTGAATGAAATTGGATGAAAACCTCAAGAAAAAGTTTTAAAATGGAGTGAATGTTGACAATGACAACAACAACAACAGCAACAACAAGGACAGACATCATGCCATACAAATTAAAATTAAATAGTTTAAAGTAATTCAAAATAAGTGAGTTTTTGCAGTTTTAAGTTTTTAATTCTATACATTATATTTCTTCAATCTTCTAATCTGCCTTCTTTCCTGTCATTATCAAATTAGTTTGTTGTGTATTTTCTATCTATATCAAAATATTTCTAGTTGTCTATCAAGTTATGTGGTTTTAACCGCGCATATAAAATGAATAATCATTTAATAATTTATATTTTCCAGGATAAAATGAGTGGTGAAGAGATAAGTGATGATCCACTGTTTATACATCACAATAAGTCACATCAAACTGAGCTGATGACTTCTCTTAATCAACTGAGATGTGAAGATATCTTGACTGATTTATCTTTTGATGTTAAGGACCAGCTTTTTCCTTGCCATAAAGCGGTTCTTTGTGCGTGTAGTGAAAAATTGCGAAGGCGTATTTGCAATGAATCCAGGAAAGACCTGGAACATCACCTGGAGCTAGACACTGTTTTACACCTACGTGGAATTGATGCTTCTTCTATGAGCTGTATCCTTGATTATATCTACACTGGAAGATGTGCACTCGCATACTCCAATGTTCAGCATATTTTGGATGGTGCACATGAACTAGGCATTGAGTCTCTTGTAGATGAGTGTTTGAGCTATAACAAACATCCAATGGAAGACGCATCTTCAGTGCCTAAAGCAAATATATATACAACACGTTATAATGAAATTTACCTCGAAAAGTTAATAGATATTTTATTTGAATCCAGATGTGAAACTTGGTCTAGAGATGTCATTCTCAGGAACTGTGGCATTAATATGCCATGTCATCGAATCGTTTTAGCAGCATGCAGTCCTTATTTCAGAGCTATGTTTTCTCATAAGATGAGAGAAAGTACTGAACTTGTTGTGCCTATTCATGATGTAGACAGTAATTCTATGCAATTAATTATAAATTACATGTATACTGGAAAGTTGCATATCTCCAACTGCACAGATGTTCAGTCATTAATGACAACAACAAGTATGTTCCAGATAGATGCATTGGTTGAAGTTTGTACAGTGTTCATTCAGACGAACATTTTGGATGTTTCTAACTGTTTTGAGAAGTTTATTTACACTGAGTCTATTGGAAATGCCTCTCTCTGCCTTTCAGCTAAGGAAATATGCATGAAACAGTTTGATATTGCTTGTCAACAAAATGGGTTTCTCAACCTAATGAAAGATCAACTGATTGAGTTCATCTCATCCAGTAAGCTTCATGTAAAGCGAGAGGAGCATGTTTATGAAGCTGTCCTGAGGTGGATAAAGTTCTGTCCAGATGAGCGTTTGACATGTTTGGATTTCATCATGCCCCATGTCAAGTTTGTATTCATGTCTGCTGCATATATTGAAAACAAAGTTACAAAAGAATGTCTTCTGAATGGATGTAAATTGATGGACGATCTTCTTAGACAAACAAGTGCTTTAAAAAGTCTTCCTGTGTGTGAAAGGATGACGAAGAATCCAGAATTGCGAATGAGACATTACACTGCAGAGGTTATTGTTATTCTTGGTGGATTTTCTAATCTTAGTTATAAGAAGGTAGAAGAAATTCATAAGTTATCATGCTATGACCCAGTCACCTGTGAGTGGTTATCATTGCCTGATTTGCCAGTGCACAACAATGACAATGTCATGTCTGTAACTCTTTCTGGTTTGCATGGCTTGAACCTCATTGCTGTAACAAAAAATGGCAGCCAGTACATTTATGAAGCAGAGGCACGTCATTGGCAGAGGCGCCCACTACCTTACCCACATGGTAAACATCAGAACGTCAAAGTTGTATCTCCTGAAACAAACACTGTATTAGTTTTAGGCGACAAAGCTGGGCCTTTTCTGTACAACAGGACAAGGGAAATGTGGCATGAGTTGCCCAAACTAAGAGAAAACTGTCTCACTGCAACTATTTGTGAAAAGAAAGTATTTGCAGTTATTAATAACCAGTTGTCATCATGCGTTTTGCAGACACCATATGGCTCTCCTCATACTTTTGGTTGGTCCAGTGTATATACATTTCTGCAGTGTGTTGAAAGTGCCCAAGCTGTCACAATTGGGAACAATATCTTCATACTGATCAATGATTTTCAACTGGTGTGCCACAAAACCAAACATGCCAAAACGTACATATTGCCTGGGATCCCAACTGTTCCCAGGATATCATGTACCTTAGTGTGCTGTAACAAACACCTGTACATATTAGGAGGACGTGATGTGAAACACGATAACATTGATGCTATAGAAATGTACGACTTTGATAGCAAAACATGGAGCCATGTTGACAATATGCCAAATCCTGTTTGGGGACACTGCTGCGTCACTGCATCTAAATTTCCATATTACATTTAGTAATAATGTAATACTGGCATATATTGCAATATATTCATGTATATGTTCAAAGGAAACGATACATGAAAAAGCATTGATTCTTTGAAGTAAATATAAGGTGAAACTCGTAAGATACCATGTGTAGGATGTATGCTTTGATCTCCAGTACGAGGATACCCAAAAAGCATTCTTCTCGCAATATTTAATTATTTAATTTTCTAGATAATAAGGGTAATCAATCAAAAATGCAAAAATAAATAAAAATCATACATATATATTGTGCAGAGCGGAAATGTCATCCAATAAAAGAAGATAAGCGAATGAAACATTAATGCTTCCAAATGTCATTCCTGTCTGGCGGTTATTATGAAGCAAACGTTAGTCCATACATACAGTTAAAATTCATGATGTAATTTCTAGTTCACTTACCAAGCGTGTTTCCTTTGCTGACAGGGAATGACTTTACAGAAGTTCAGGAAATTGCTGTGTAAAAAGTGTGTTAGCTGAATCCATCCTTAAACATTCCCATTTGGGTCGTTTAGCAGTTTTATGTCTGCCACTTGGATATCTTAGGACAAAGAAATTAGGGGTGAGGGAAATATAAATGAACTTTCACACAATTTGTTATTGGTTACAGGCACAAATCAGGTTTGAATTGAAAGGTTATGGCCTGTGCAATCACAAAACATATATTACTTGTTCAATTAAGGCATTGATGATGACATCAGGACTCAAAAGATCACTTCAAAGACTCGAAGGTCATTAATAACAAAAGTAATAAAAAATAAAATTAAAATAAGTTTATAACCAAAATAATTAAAGCCCGTACACTACATCAGATTTTAATCAGATTGGCAACAGAGGTGCTTGTACTGTACACCCAGTTATAAGTTATGCATAGCTTGCCTCCAGGAATCACTTTTGTAAAAACAATACACTTTCCTGGGGGTATTTAAATCTAAAAATTGGCATTCCAGCTAAGCAGCCAATCAGCGACGGCCTAACTCTTAGATGACAATTTTGGTTTCAAATACCCCGGCTGAGTGTTCTAGGTTCTTCGCGTAATTAGGTGTTCGTATGCAAGGGATTTTTCCACACAAAAACGACGAATTAGGCCGAATTTTGTTGTTGGTTGGCCTAATTATAACCCCAACGGACCGCATTTTTGTGAAAGATTGGTATTTTTGTCCTGATTTGTAGGAATCTCTTATTTAGTTGTATGCGTCATTCAAGATGGCGGCCCCATATAATAAATATCGCATTTATTTTATTATATCAGATGTGCGCCAGCATTCTCCTTCCCAGAGTTCCTTTCGGTTAGATCACCGAAAGTATCTCTGCCACCACACACCGCCATTTTGTGGTGAAACACCACAAGACTTTTACTACGCCAATTATTTGCGTATTTTTGTTATGAGAGGGATCTTGTGTTGATTTATTCCTACTGATAAACTAGTTTGAAAAGATTTCATCGATAGCTGATAATGATTTTTTTGCAAACGCACTGAAAACGGTGAAATAGTTTACAAAACAAAATAATTCCATTGCGTAATAACCGTTACCAAGGGGTTACTCGGTTCATCAAACTGACCGTCCTGTCGATTGCCAGGCAAAGAATTACAAACTAACGAAAGCACTTCCTAGTATTGACGAATAAATAGTCCTACTGCCACACCGTTTGTGTTACAGAAAGAAAAAAGCTGAAAACAGCCAAAGTCTGCAAACAACGCGTACACATTCATCGGGTTCGAAAATCGAACACTTGCATGGCAATGTTTTGTTGAGCGCCTTTGAAAGTAGTGCCACTGTGACGCATCGACCAATCAACGACAAGCATAAGATCGCGTGGTGGCAGAGATATATTCGTGGAATAGAACTCTGCCTGGGAAATTGGTGCGCCAGCTGACTGCGAGTACGTCCACATGTTGATCTGCACAACATTACTCTTGCTTTCTTCATTTTTTCTAAATGACGTTACATGTGGTCGTATCCTTTTCATGCCAGGTATGGGGTACAGTCATCATGCTATCATGATGCAAATGTACTAACTCGACATGGTCATTATGTTCGCTATTTGCTGTCATCCGCTCATCCATGCAGCATGGGACCAGAACATACATCACAGACTATCATGGTGAATGTCAGCATGACACGAAAATATTTTGAAGCAAACCTCCAAACCATGTTAACAACTGGGCTGTTGGACCCAATGAACATGTCAGCCTACCTGGCATACGGCCAGTTGCTAACCGATCTTTGTGACAGCATGTTAGAAGAACGCACTAGTTTTATGAAACACTTGGAGTCTGAACGTTTTGATTTAGTAGTCTTGGAAGATGTCTCGTTATGTGGTTCTATGATTGCAAAGATGCTAGACCTTCCGTTCATTTACACTAGTTTATCTAACACTATATTAGATGTCCAACATTACGTTCCTTT